GGGAGTGCCAACTGGCACAACCGTTTTGGAAATCAGTGTGGAGGTTCCTCAGAAAGCTAAAAATGGATCTCCCACATGATCCAGCCATACCACTATTGGGCATATACCCAAAGGACCCTGTATCCTACTACAGAGATACCTGTTCATCTATGTTCATTGCTGCCCTATTCACAATAGCAGGGAAATGTAAACAACCTAGGTGTCTATCAGCTGATGAATGGATAATGAAAACATGATACATTTACACAGATATTAAGAAAAAGGAAATTATGAAGTTCACAGGTAAATGGATAGAACTAGAAACAGTCTTCTCCTCAGGCCAGCTGTGAAGACCCTAACCTGGATAGGGTCCCCTGCCGATTGGGGGGGGTAAGAAGCACGGAGTCAACACACAGACCCCAGAGTCGGGTAGAAGCAAGCATTAGGCAAGGTGCTGCAGGCTCATTTAATGCAGGAGGGGGCACTCCTTATATCTCCCTTTTCTCCGCCCCCAAGTCCCTTTAGTCAGCATATCGTTTTCTGATTGGTCCGTGCCACGCATTCTGTCAGCAGTCACTGGGCTCATGAGCAGGGTATGGAGGCATGGGCTCCTTTTGGCAGGCTATTTGTGACCAAAAAGTGAAGTGAATTCTCGCTGAATCCCAGGGCCCTGGGTTCCCGCCATCTTTGGAGGCCTCCTGCTACAGTGAGGGAATACAGACCCAGAAAGACAAGCACCACATGCTCTTTCTCATAAATGAGTGCTAGTTTCCAGTCTTAGATAGGTGTGTTTCAGTTGGAAAAATTCTTAGCGATTAGGGAACTCTCCTTCACCAGAGGGGAGATAGAATGCAGTGAATATAAATGGGAATGGGTAATAACAAATAACGGGGTGAGAGATGGAAAGTAGAACGTAAGAAGGAGTAAGAGGAGGGATAAGTGACACTAAAGACTCTTTGAAACAGTCATATAGAAACCTATGACGGCAGCCTCGCTCCGTTTATACATATACCACATAAAAAGAGTTGAAGGCAGCTACCCTATAAGAGGGATTCAATGGCCCTAAAAAAACCACCACAGATTAGCAAATGCAAAGCACAGTGCCAGGAATGGACTCCCTCTTTTGGAGTCGTTGACCAGAGAGATTTCAAAGGTCCTCAGACAACACTAGCTATTACCATTGCACTTGGTTTTCCTCTGGAACGGGATAGTAAGATCCTATTGTTGAAGACACTAGGAGTTTCAGAACAAACAAGGAGAAAACAAGCAGGTACTGATCTTGAAGCTACATCTCTGCTGGTTGGCATTCATACACTAGAAGGTGATATGCATGTTACTGACAGAGAAAGACAGTCATTGGCCTTACCCAGCTGTGAACCCTGTGAACCACAATAACAAATGGCATGGCAAGTTATGCCCAACAGTAAAACAATGGCATACATTTTAGGGGAGTAAACAACCACCTTTTAATTGGATTTAAGGCCTGATTCACACAGAGAGTCCATACCTGATACTGCTATCAGGGCAAGAACTTCTGGCTAGACAAATCACAGCCCATAGGGGATAGCTTACTACTATTGCCTTACTAACTAGACCTAATATTAAATGGACTCACAATGACATATTGTTATACCCATAGATAAGAGCATCTCTCAACTCTCACCAAAGGTTCTTCTTGTAGTAGATGATTAACAGAGAGACCCACAAATGTCAACGTGCAGAGAATAAGAAACTGCAGAGAGCTCAGGCCTAATTGGAACACCCATGTCCCACCTTCTCCTCCCAAGGCTCAGGGATCATTGCAGAAGAGAGGGTGGAAAGACTGTAAGAGCCAGAGATGGTAGATGAGTATAAGGAATCCCTGTTATCTGAAAACCACAGGGTAATTGTACATAAGGATACGTAGCTCTTATGACAGCATACACAAGACTTGTGCAAACCCAAGCCAGATAGGAGGAGAATAATTATCTTCTTGTTTAGTTACAGAAAGTCATTTTTTTTTTTTTGTAAAGAGCAAACAATACCAAAATCATCCCTGGAGCTGGAGAGATGGCTCATTGGTTAAGAGCACTGGCTGCTCTTGCAGAGAACATGGGTTTGGTTCCCAGCACCCACATGGCAGCTAACAACCATCTGTAACTCCAGTTCTGAGGGATCTGATGCCCTCTTCTGACCTCCACAGGCATTGCATGACAGGGGTGTACTTAACATATATGCAGGCAAAACACTCATACACATAAAAATAAATAAATAAAATATTTTTTAAAGCACCCCCTGTAAAATCTTAGATTGAGTAAATTACCTAGATAATTATATATCCTCTATTTTACTATTTATAAATACTTTTATCCTTAATATTTTTGTAAGATCATATTCCAAAAGTAAATAAAATATTGATTTAGCAAAACAAAATTCCTTTCCCTGTATTTTCAACCAGGCTATTTCCTAATCACACAGCAGTTCTCCATGAAGTCTTATCTGAAGACTCTAAAAGGGGTTGCGTGCTCCCACTCGGTACTTACAGGAACTCTATTCTTCAACATAACATCCAGCCAGACCAGGCTGAGTACACCCAGCTCCCCGGGGGTCCCAGCAGGCTGTGCTCTGCAGCCAGCGTCATAGAATTTTTGTCTTTGTTTTTTAAATCTAGACACAGTGTTTGGTTCCTGATCAGTATTAAATTTTAGAAGAGCTAAGAGACAGCAGGGTGGTGAAGGAAATCAGGGAGGGGAAGCAGGTAGAAAGGAAGGAGGACAAAGGGTGGTGAAAAGTCCTTAACATGCTGCACATTTTAGAAGTTGAGCCACAGTACATTGCAAGGGCAGTTTATTAAATGGATGAATCCTGATCCTATTAAGAGCACATCTACATGCCAGCCTCTTCCCTAGGTACCCAGGGTGATACAGAAAGCAAAGAGCTCATGTCTTTGCTTCAACAGAATTTGTGTTCAAGTCAGGGGACAGGCAATGTACAGTATGTGTACAATACATAGAAAACAATACATTGCATAGTATAACTATGGAAGAAAAGTGAACGTAAATGATAAAATATATGAACTTTTTACATATGTGATATCATGCACAAATTATTTTAATGGGAACAATTATAGGCATATAAGAACTGCATCTTTTTGTGTAAGAAAGTTCAGAGTCTTTACTTTTAAGAGGCTACATGTGAAATTTCAGAATGGGAAATGGCAAACTAATCACTGCATCTGTGGCATTTATAATTTACTTGTGGTCACCCATCCACATGGAGTGCAGCAGGAGCAATCTGTGCAGACCTTAAGAGGGCTCTCTCCCAGGTATGTGTGCAAGCATGGAGCTCTGAGGGGGAGAGGAGATTTGGAAACTTCCAAAGCCCAGGCTTCTTTCAGACCCATCTGGGCAGAGCCCGACATCTCACCAGCAGAAGGACAGATGGCTTGAGAAACTCGATGTCAAGCACAACCCTTCTGTGGCATCAAGGGGTTTATTCTGGGGACGCTCCATACCAAATCCAAGGATGCTCAAGTCTCCTACACAACATACCGTCATGTTTGCATAGCACCTATGCATCTTTCTGAATGTGTTTAAATGGCTCTAGATTACTTATTTTATCTAATATGATACAGACACTGTGCAAACAGTTGTTACATTTTATGCAGTTGTTATATTTTATACAGTGGAGAATATTGAAAAGAAAAAAACATGAGAATGTTCAGTATGGATGCAATTTTTTCAGACTATTTCTTGTCACTCAAATTGATAAAATTGACCTTCAAAGAAACCTGTGTTTTTTCTTCCTTCCTCCCCTTCCCTCCCTCCCTCCCTCCCTTCTTTCCTTCCTTCTTTTTTTCCTCTTCTGTATGCAGAGTGTATGTGTATGTATGTATTTGTGCATGTATATGTTCTGGTACACATGTATGTGTGTGCATATACATGCAGAGGCCAGAGGTCAATGTTAAGGGTCTTTCTCAATTGTTCTCCTCATTAGTTTTCTATAGCTGGGCATGGTGGCGCATGCCTTTAATCCCAGCACTGGGGAGGGAGAGGCAAGCAGATCTCTATGAGTTCAAGGCCAGCCTGGTCTACATAGTGAGTTCCAGGACAGCTGGGGCTACAGGGAGACCCTGTCTCAAAAAGACCAAAAATAAAAAAAGTTTTTATTGAGCTTTTGTACACTTCATATTACAAACCTTAATCAAATTTAGACTCCCTCCCCCATCCATGCCCCCACAACCTGGCCCTCGGACCTGCATTAGTTTTTTGAGACAGGTTCTCTCACTGAGCCTGTAGCTCAATGATTCAGGCAGACTGACTGTTCAGAAAGCCCCAAGGGTCTTCCTGTCGCTGACCCCCTGTCGCTGGGATTATAAGCACTTGATGCTTGGCTTTTATGTGAGTGCTGGAGATCCAAACTCAGGTCCTCCTGCTTGTGAAGCAGCACTTTACTGAGGAAGCATCACCCCCTGTCCCGTCTCTCTGATCTCTTTATTCCTCCATCCCTCTGCATCCCCTTTCCTTTCTCTCTCTCCTTTCTTCGGTGCTTCTTCCTTTGATTTTCTTTCACTTTCTTCATGGAACCTTCACTAATTTTTTATAATTAAAACACTGCTAAGTTGGCTGCAGGATTCTCAAGACAACATGATCCATTTAATGAAATAGGAGTCCATAAATAGAATCACAGGGTACACTTACATCATTATGATCCAATGATGCCCATTTCTTGAGCATATCTGCAAAATAATTCAGCATGATTTTTTCTTTTTAATTATTATTATTCTAAAGTCTCTATTTGATAATTTTCTCATTAACTTTTTCTCAACAGAAAGATAGCATGAACTTATTTCTTGAATTACTTTTTCTGACCTTCTGCAGGATGATAATTACAAAAAAAAGAGGCCTAGAAAACTTGTAAAAAAATAAGCTTATAAAGTAGCTAAAATGATCCTTCAGTGCTGGTGTCGATTTCAAAATTAACATTTTGGTTCATGTGCTTCTAAAATAATCACTGACCCTTACCTTGAGAACTTTCCACAGGAAATGAATGCAGCAGAAATTACTTTGACCCACTGATGGAGGAGGAAATAAACCCATGGCAGTGCGCGATGGAGGTCAGCAGACAGGGTGAGCTAGAATTAAGTGTGTAATTTTTGTGCCAGAATATTCTTTTCCATTCATGAAAATGAGGTGGCAAAGATCATACGTGCAGCTCTGGTTAGGCTTTGCAGCTTACCATTTAAATGGGAAGTTTCAGCCACGGACAACATGATGGGCAGAGGAGGTGAATTCTCTTCAAGGACAGCAAGGGGGTAGGGGGCGTCTAGGAAAGAAACCAGCCGGCTTTAATCTGAGCTCTGTGAGCTGCTGGTGGCATTCCAAGGCCCCACGTGTGTTCCAGGGACAGCATCACTTTACCCCAGCTCCTCTGCTTGGTATTTAAAATGAGCGTTCTTCAGTAACATGCACCGAGCACAGGAGACCCACACTCTGCCCTACTGAAGTCCTTGCATCAGATGGAGAAAATGACTGCTGTTCAATCTTGAAGGTGCAAAAGTATGATTGATAACAATGTGCTCTTCTGCAGTGCTTTTCATGGTTAATTTTTAATTTTATGTGTATGAGTATATTGCCTGCATGTGTATAAGTGCACATATGTCTGCAATGCCTGCTGAGGTCAGAAGTAGGCATTGGATTCCCCTGGAACTGGAGTTACAGGCGATTGTTAGCTACCATGTGGGTGCTTGGAATCAAACTCAGTCCTCTGTAAGAGCAGTCAGTGCTCTTAACTGCTGAGCCATCTCTCCAGCCCCTACAGTTAATATTTTAACACATCAAACAATGGGGTTTTATTTCATGTTCATTTAATTTCACCATCCCATATTTACAGCTCTTCCAACCCACTCATAGTGTGGTCCCCCCGCCGCCCCCCATGTGTTTGTATTAAATCCAGAGTTTGCATATGAGAGAAAATATATTTTGTCTTTCTCCCTATAACCCTCTTTTGTTCTCCTTTAAACATCTTTCTTTTTTACTTGCATGGGGCATACACACCTATATTCATATGCCTGGATTTATCATGAGAGAGAAAGTCTGTGATATTTGTCTTTATGAGTCTGGATTATTTTGATTAACATGGTCTTCACTTCCATCTATTTCTATAAATTTGAATCTAGTTGTGGTTATAGAAATAGGAATTTAGAATTGTTCCTTAGGAGCATACCACTGGGCATATTTTAAAGCTCACCAAACAACCTGGAATTTATGAAGACTAATGATGGAGTAATGACAGTCATAGGCCTTGTTTAGAGTGGTTCATAATCCAGAAGATCACATCTCACTGTTATGTACCAGACATTGAGTATACTTCTTAATAAAAGACTGGGCTAAATTCTCACAAATCATGGGCTCAAATACAGTACAAAGATTAACGGCATTTGACAAAATAGTTCACAATAAACCAAAAATTTATTCTTATATGAAGCAGAAGTCACTGGCACCATTGAAAGACACATTTGTAAGAAAATAATTTAGTGTCAGAGCCAGTTTTCACCTGTACACTGAGTCAGGATGACATATGAGAAGAGAGTGTAAGGACTCGTCTGCATGTAGATGCCACGGTGAAACCCATTACTGTGTGTGCTGACTTAAGTAACAGCAACAAGAAGAAAACAGGCTGAATTAAAAATTGCAAAATCTCAACCTTTTATTTCCCCAATCATACCCAAGAAGTTAGAGCACACGCCAGTGATTTCTGGGGAGGCATGTTAATTAAATTATTAGTTTAAATCTTTAAGTTTTAAAATTATTAGAAACCAAGATACAGGGCTATGCTTTAGTAGAGAAGGGATGCTCTGTTTTAGGAAATGTGTCTCCAGATGCTACATTAGATGAATAACTGTAAATGAAATGCTGGCTGGGTGTTCCCATCCAGAGTGCTTGGCACCAGAAGTGGTTTAGACTTAGACTTCTTTCAGATTTCAGAATAATTATATATACATTATAGGACACCCTGGGAATGAAACCCATCTAAACCATTTATTTTATTTTTTTATTTACTTTAAAATTTTAATTGAATTTTTGTGAATTTCATACATCTTGATCACAATTAGATCCCCTCCCCTCTCAGCACAGCCCACCCATAACACCCCCACCAGATTTTATGCATTCTGCCATATATGCTAAGGCTTATTGAGACAAGTTTGTGTCCCCAAATGTCCTTTAGTGTGCATTCATTCACTGGAGTGTGGTTAACCTATCTAGTGTCACTCCCTTAAAGAAAATCAACTCTCCGTCACCAGTAGTCATCATCTGTTGCAAATAGTTCCTTGGCTAAGGTTGGGGTTTCTAACCTATTTCCTCAGTGCTGGGTTTTTGTCTGGTTTGTACTCATATGGGTCTTGTGCATGCTTTCACCATTGCTGCGAGTTCATCTGAGCAAGTTCCCAGCTACCTGGAAAATGCTGTTTTCTTGTGATCATCTACCACCCCTGGCTCTTACAGTCTTTCCACCCCCCTCTTCTGCAGGGATCCCTGAGCCCTGGGTGACAGGGGTTTAATATAGGTATCCTTCCCAGGGAAAAGCCCTCTGCAGTCTCTTATTCTCTGCATTTTGGCCAGCTGTGGCTTTCTGTGTTAATCACCATCTTTTCCATAAGGAAGCTTCACTGGTGAGAGTTGAGAGACACACTGCTATTCTTTCTGCCTCCTGCTCTGCTGTGTTTCCTGATCCTTAGGTGTAGAGGTGGCATTGCAGATGGGTCGCTTGGGGATGCTTTTGATCAGTTGTGGAACTCTGTAATCAACTGTTGCAAGCTTGTTTTGATGGGTGGTGAGAGGTACGCACTTGTCTGCAAATATAAGGATACATATATAGAATACAGTAAGAAATTACATTTGTCTAGGACTATGACAGAAATAGGTTTTTCTCTAGGATCTTTCACCTCTTCAGCCATGTGCTCATGGATTGGTAGAATTAATATTCTGAAAATTACCATCCTACCAAAAACAATTTAAAGACAATGCAATTTCACTCAAAATCCTCATGACATTCTTTACAGAAGTAGGAAAAAGCCATCTTAAATTCCTATGGAAGCACAAAAGACCCTGGAGAGCCAAAGCAATCCTGAGCACAGAGAACAATGCAGAGGGGGTTACCATACCAGATCTCAAACTATATTACAGAACTAAAATTGTAGAACAGCATGATATTGGCACAAAAACACACACGTAGGTCAAATGAACAAAGTAGAAGACTCAAACATGAGTGCATGCAATTTCAACCACCTGATATTTTACAAGGGTACGAAGAGCACACACTGGAGGAAAGACAGCATCTTCAACAATGGCTGCTGGGAAAAGTGGATCTCCATGTCTAGAAAAAGTGAAAGTAAACACACATTTCTCACTCTGTGCAAAAGTCAACTCCTAATGGATCAAAGACCTCAATATTAAGCCTGAAATGCTAAAACTGTTAGAAAACATAGGCAGTACCCTACAAGAAATAGGTACAAGAAAGGACTTTCTAAACCAGACTTCAGTTGCTCAGGAATTCAGGTCAACGATCAACAAGTGGGACCTCATTAAATAGAAAAGCTTTTGTACCACAAAGGAAACAATTGAGTAAAGAGGAAGCTCATGGAGTGGGAAAAATATTCACCAGATACACATCTTACAGAGAATAAATATGTAGGATATACAAAGAACTCAAAAAAAGAATCAACAGAACAAATGACACAATTAAAAAACAGACTGTGGTTCTGAGGCCTTTTGTGCCTCCGTTGAGATGACCATGTGATTTTTGTCTTTGAGTCTATTTATATGATTTATTACATTTACTGACTTGCATAGGTTGAACCATCCCTGCACCTCTGGAATAAAGTCAACTTGATCATTGTGGACGATCTTTTTGATGTGTTTGTGGTTTTGGATGTGTATATAGTTTATGAGTATTTTGTTGAGAATTTTTACAATTCTGTTCATTAAGGATATGGAAATATAACTTTCTTTTTTAGCCGTGTCTTTACCTGGTTTTAGTATTAGAGTAATATTGTTTTGACAGAAGGAGATTGGGAGTTCTCCCTCTGCATCTATCTTTTTGAATTATTAAAGTAATATTGGTTGAAGATCTTCTCTGAAGGTCTGGTAAACTTCTGTTGTGAATCCATCTGGACCTGGGCTTTCTTTAGTTGGGAGGCTTTGTATTACTGTTTTGATTTCCTTATTTGTTATGAGTCTGTTTAAACTATTGATCTATTCTTGGTTTGAATTTGGTGGTTTCATTGAACTTAGAAGTTCACCCATATTTTTATATTTTTTAATTTAAGAGAATACCAGTTTTTAAAGTATGGTTTTTAAAGTATTCCATTATGATGTTCTGATTTTTTTGTTTTTGGTGCCTATTGTGACATTTCCCCTTTCATCCTGATTTTGTTGATTTGGATTTGCTCTTTCTTTTGGTTTGCTGGACTAATGGTCTGTCCATCTTGTTTATATTTTCAAAGAAGTAGCTCTTAGATATATTGTTTCTTTGTGTTATTATTTCCTTTGTTTCTATTTCATTGATTTCTTCCCTGATTTTATTATTTATTTTCATCTGTTGGGTTTGGTTTGTTCTTGCTTTTCCAGATTCTTGAATGGTACCATTAAGTCATTTATTTACACTCCTTCTGATCTTTTAAATTTAGGTGTTTAGAGATATAAATTTGCCTCTTGGAACTGCTTTTAATGTGTCCCAGAGGTTTTGTTGTGTCATGTCACCATTTTCATTTAGTTCCAGAAATACTTTTATCTCTTTCTTGATTTCCTCTTTGACCCATTCATCATTCAAGAGTTGTTTAATCTCCATGAGTTCATATAGTTACTAGAGCTTCTTTTGCTGTTCATTTTAAGAATTATGCTCTGATAGAATACTTGAAAGTATTTCAAATTTTTGCATTTTTTTGAGGTTCATTTTGTGTTCTAGAATATGTTCTATTTCATAAATACTTCAATGGGCTGCTGATAGAATGTGCGTTCTTTTGTGGTTGGGTGAAATATTCCGTAGATGTCTGTTATATCCATTTGATGTGTTATATCATTTAATTCAGATGTTTCTGTCTTTATTTTTTCTCCAGTTGACCTGTCTA